AAAATCAGTTAATTTTTAGCTTACCAAGAAGCACGCAGGGAGAAGGACTGGGAAAAGAACACAATAGGGAAGAAAAGTGAACTTTTGGGTGCCACTATTATTCTTAGTTGACTTGACTGTTAGTTAAACAGGAAGTTCCATATGTGAAAATTCATTGACTTTTACACCTAAAATATGTGTGCTTTTCTGTGAGGATGAAAATAAAATGGAATATAACATATGGAGTAAACAATGTGCTAAATGAGACTATGAAATATTATCAAAGTGGCATTCAGGAATATAGAAAGACTACGATAATATCTTAAGACTTCTGCATACTTGATAATATTAAAAATTCGCCACTGAAAAATTGTAAGTGCCCAATTCATGTTATTTGACTTAAATTCTTGTTTAACTCCACCCTCCCCCCTTTTTAGGTTAGTCTCTATAATTACTTTTTTCTAATTTCAACCGCTAAAAGACAATGAACAACCGTTATTCTACCTTCTACTCTTGAAAATGAACACATATTTTTCAAAAAAACAAAACAAAATACTATTTTCTTCCATGCAAAGAACAACATTTTCTTAGTATTTTAATTAATATTAAGTACATTCAATAGCTAATAAATAAGTAAATAGTAAGTAAACAGTTAATAAAACAATTTATGCCATAATAAAAAACTGTGATTCTTAACTGGACAGCCTTGAGAGGCCTAAAAAACAAATATAATTATAGTAATTCATCCAAAAGACCTGGCAGACTAGCAGTAGCTTCATTACCTTTGCTCTTTCCTATTTCATGAAAATCTTCATAATAAGTATTCTTTTTCACAAGTTTTAACCTTTCCTTAGGTTGCCAGTGTGGACTAATTGGGGTACTTGATAATGGCAGGAAAGATCAAGTGCTCATACTACGAAACTTAGAAAATATGAAAATTCTTACCTAACTTCTTTATTACATATAAAGAGAAGAGACTGGCATTGTTGAGTACTCACTGTATACCTGGTACTGCGCTATACACTATCTATTTTTAATTCGTTTCATTAACACAAAAAGAAATATTTACTTAAGAAATAAAACTAAGTTACTAATACCATTGTCAGTAATAAACGTCAGTTAGAAATACAATGTGTATTAGTTTAAGATGACATGGAAACTTGTAAACATTAAACTACTGAAACTGATCTGAAGCTCTGAAGTGGAGAGAAATCTCAGTCTGTCTCTGGCCCATCCACAACCCCTGTGTTATCTCCTTGTGCTCCTATATCAGGGTAAAGAGAAATGCTTTAAAAATGGCGTTTTTCAATGCATTATCTCTTAATGTAGTTATCCTTTCCTTAATTCAGTCCAACACATAATAATTAACAGAAGTGAAGTAAAAAAATATAAAATGTAGTAGCGATCGCTGAGGCTGCTAGGAAAGCCATGAGTTTTGTGGGTTGCAAAGTAAAATTAAACCAGGAACAGTAAGTAGTAACTGAACTCTGTAAAACAGTTTCTCTAGAAGTGCTCTTCCCCACCACATTGTACATCCAAGGTTGTTTGCCAAATATCAGTTAGAGTTGACTATTATATAGCTAGTTCCTTTGACTTTGATGTCAGTTTTTGCTTTGTTCATATACATTCTTTAGTTGTCATGACTTTTAACCATTTAAAAATAAACAATAAAGAATAACTAACCAAATAAGATACAATTTATCCTACGAATAGTATCCTTGTATTCATTTCTAAAATCAAACATGACCTATTTTTCTAGACAATTTTGTCCACAGATTTTTTGTTCTAAATTTATCTTAAGAAGTTAAAGTTAAAAAAAAAAGTTAAAAGTCGTACTCTGATCAACAAATCTAGAGCTCTTATTTTAATTCGACCTAAACAAATATTTCGAAGTCCGACTCAAAGGAAATAGTATTTTGCACATTATCTGCATTCTTCTGCCCCACAATACAGAAAATGTTATGTTACAGTAATGGAACACCTTTTTAACTTGAAAAACAAAACAAAACAAAAAAATAATAAAAGCTAGTTAACCGTTACCAAGCTACAGAATACTACTCTCTGTAGAACACTTTAAACATTTATTTTCCTCAAAAGGCTTGGAAAACTATTCTTAGAATCTCTGCATGTTATTCGAAATGCTTTATCACACTGGTCAAACCAATACATTTTTTGTAGGAAAAAATTTCTATTTCCATTTTAAAACATGGTAAGTCTATAAATATGATTCAATCAGCCACTGTACAGAGTCATTTTTCTGTTATCTTTGTGTGACTGGGCATGTTTAAGAGTAAATAATGAAATGATTTATTTCCTTGAATGATTTATAAACTATACAGATTCTTCTGTTAAAATCAGAACACAATTTTTAGCTAAGGTCTAAGACTTGCTAGTCAAAATTCACTTTAGAAGGCAGTAGTCCCTTCTCAAGGGTCCAAGAAGGTAGAGACTAGGGTCCAAAATATATTTTCAGTATTAAAAAACAACCTAAAAGAAATAAAACATGTGTATGCTTCAAGCTCTAGTGATCTTAGAGAAGCTCTTAAAAAGTAATGTCTAAAAACAAATAGATATTACTAACCTTAAAGAAATGTTTGCAATTAAACATATTGGTTTACCTAGAAGGTTCACCCAGGCTCATTAGTTTTCTTTGTCCCAGTTTTTCTCCCTGAATGACTTTTATACTCAACTCTTTTGAGTTTAACTCCTAGTTATATATGCTGATAAATTCCAAAACTTTACCTTAAGTTAAAGCCCTCCCTTCATCTTCAGATTATCTGCTAAAGTCCTGCCACTCCAAGTGTGGTTTACAGACTAGCAGCATTAGAATCACTTGGAGGTGTAACAGAAATGAGGCCTCTCACGTCGTAGCCCAGATGGACTGATTTGGAATCTGCATTTCAACCAGATTCCCCAGTGACTCACATGCACAGTAAAGTCTGAGAAGCACTGTGCTAAACATCTCCAAACTGAATGTTTTACAGACATCTTAACTCAAAATGTCCCAACTATGACAGGTTACATGTTCCTTAAGCTTATGAACATCATCATGATAAAGCCGCTATCTACCTAATCAGCTCCCTTGTCACATTCCCTATTTCATGATTTATGTCCTAACATCTAGAGACACTTGTTCCTGTAGCAAACATCCTATTTCCTTACCATTGTTCATGCCTTGGCTCAGACTTGGATGCTGTTTACTACTAGCTGCCCTGTCTTTCAGCCATTGCCTGACACCCTCGAGCTCAAGAGTCTAAGACTTAGCTTAGAGCCAAATGGCTGGAGGAAGCCATCCTCTAGGACCCCTTCTGTCCACACTCTTCCTCCATCAAGATGGGGTTCATGTTCTTCTTTTAGGCTCATATACCTTTTACATTCTCCTATTTATTGTAATCATTTATTTCTCTCCTACTAGCAACGACAGCTCCTCCAGAAGACAGGAGTCATGTCTAAGCCTGAAAATCTCAGTACGTACCACAGAGCTGAGACCATCTGGTTACTCAGTGTTTGCAGAATGAGTATTAAACCAATAACTAAAACACAAAGTTTCCTTATTTGGGATTTCGTACTGTTTAGAAGCTCTGAGAAACTGTTACTTATTATACTCAACTTGATAGATAAAATCTTTCATAAAAAAAGAGCATCAAGGGAAATAATAAAAAGTGTTCTTGTTTTTCCTGGTAAAACTTCTGAGAGCTACTGGTCAATGTTATGTTTAAAGTTAACAAACAAGTTATGGCTAAACCAATTACCTTCAGAATTTATGAGACTGACTACTACTAGCCCTCGTTTAAACCAATGAAACTCTATTTTAAAAATAAATGGTATGTGGATTGATTATGTTGAAGGGTTTAAGCTTTCTACTGAGCCTATGCTATTTTAATAACATTTACTATGTGGTGTTCAGTATCTTTTTTAGTCATAATTGAAATGTTTATGGCCTATTTCAAAGTTTCTTAGAACATTAGAAAAAAAATGTTTTTTTGAGTCTCGAGCAAAGAAGCCTAGCTTCTAATACAGAATAAATTCCTCCAAATTCAATCTAAGAAAATGACCCAAATAACACACTTCTACAAAATTCCAACAATTCCTCCAAAAGAAATGCAAATGTAAGTATAATATAATTTTAGAATCTGGAAAAGCAGCAGGGTGAGAACAGTCCTCCTACACACTCCCCACCCATAAAAAAGGCAAAGATATTGTTTTAAAATTATGCCTCTTGAAACAGAACTTCACTTCTTATCAAAAAAAAAAAATCACAAAAGTAGGATAAATTAAATATTCCTAGCTAACTGTATAAGGAACTGATCTGCTCTGAATAACATTTCATCCAGGATAGAGGATGGACTACAAAGCTGGAAGTTCTTCTCAACTGGATCTGAAATACAGTCAAAGATGTACCAATATAAGGGAGAAATCAATAGCATCAATCAGGTATGACATCAACAAGGCAGAAAAGGAGAAATAAATAAAAGGAACATGGTAGTGAAATTATTTTTACATATCTATATCGAAAATACCAAGGGTGGTCTGTCAGGGTTCCAAGAACAACTAAAAGGCAAAGACAGTGAAAAAAAGGCACCTGAATGAGGAAATGAATGAAAAGTATCTCCAGAGACCACAAACAGACTGTCTTTCTTCTCCTTCTCAAAACGGGTGGTCATTTCTTCCTGAGACGCCTCTTCATCTTCTCTTTCTTCTTGAAGCCTTTTCATTCTCTCCATTAAGGCCTCTAGCTCACTTAGAGAATCTACAATCTGGATAAGGTAATGTTGGTGTTATTAATATTAAAAATTGTTCCAGTGAACGTCTCCATCTCCCAATGTCATCTTATTATGTACAATTTGCATGGGCACAATTAAGTTCCTAAGTGGGTTTTCGACTAATTACAAAGAAAAATCATGAGACATTTTCAGAAGTATGATGTTTTTGCTTCAGTTATAAATCTGGAAAGTTTTTAAGTATAGATATATTTAATCTAGAATTCCAGCATTTGGTATATATTATAAATTGTTATAGTTTATTGTCAAAAATGAGGCAACTTCAAATTTTCTACTTTTTACTACCATAAGATATATTTTCTGTTGGTTGTTCCAGCATCTTATAGAAACAAACATATTGTTTTGAGATCTGCTGTTCAAAGGGTCTAACATAAAAAGCCTATGACCATTAGAGTGCATTATTCAGGTTTTTTTTTGATGGCTTAGGTGCATTTTATTGATTTTCTTTTGTTTTAGTCTTTATGATTTGTAATAATATTTACCTGCTTGAAAGCTTCTTTAAGGCAATTCAGAACTTCAGGTACAGGTGAAATTTTTATAGCAAACTATGCAAAAACGTTTCGAGTATATAATATCTTCTTTAATCAGAGAATAAATTCTCTCTAGATATTTTTAACGTCAGATGAAGTTTAAAGGCAAAACAGTAAAGAAAGACAGTTAAGAACACTGACCCCAAAGTTGTTGCCTGTAAGGGATGCATTCTCTATGTTGTTGTCATTAGCGAGGTCACAAACACAGAAGTTGTTGACTGATATTAGCCTGAATCCATTGGAGATTTCTGGATCTCTCTCTGGATTGATGCCACTACCAAAAACAAAGCTTGCCAAAGCATGATAATGTGCCAGCAGGACCACAGCATGTACCAGTTCGGGTAGAGACCAATTATTTTCTCCAGTTTTGACAAGTTTCTGAAATGAGAAAGCAAATCTGAGTAAAAATGAAAATCACAGAACACTACACAAAGCAATTTTAGAAAGCATAGAAAATCTACCAAATTTCATATGTCCATTTATAGTAATAAAACTTAAAACACTCTTTTTAGAATGTTTCACATATGGCTTTGGTCAAACAGTGTTACACTAAAACTATCAAACCTAACAATATAACTTAAAATTCCATATATACATATAGAGTGGAACTTCTGCTTCCAGAGCACATTTACATATTGTTATTTATCAAAGTATTTCACAGAATCAAAGAACATTAAAGCTAGAAGGAATTTTAAAGATTACCTGGCACAATCATTCATTTTAAAGTTTTAAGGTAGCAACTCTACCTTAAAAAAAAAAAATCACATAAAAACCCAATTCAGTAAGTCATAATGTTATCTTTTTCATATTTTCTCTGATGGAGAAAGACCCTACAGTACATGATAGAAGAAACCAAAGAATACTACCTCACATTTCAATAAGAACTTAAAAAATTTCAAAGCACTTTTTTTTATGCTATTTTATTTGACATTCCAGCTGAACGATGGAATCACAAGTGAAGCCATTAAAAACAGCAATCCCTTCATCCCCACTTTCTCCAAAAGCCAATCCTATTAATCCATCAAGAATTCTTTCCCATCAGTGTTCATTTTCTCTCTGTCTGTCCCTCTGTCTGGCTCTCCGTGTGTGTGTGTGTCTGTCTGTGTGTGTGCCTGTGTGTCCTGCTGCTCTTCGCAAATCTAAAACTTTCACTTGGCCCACTTCATGGCTAAAAACCAAAACCAAAACACTGCTCTTGTTTTATTCTCTATTATTTAACTACACACACACACACACACACACACACACATAATTTCATGTTAACCAAAAGCTCAGAGAAAAGGAAAGGAAAAATCAATCATATTCAACTGCTCTAACATGTAACTTTTACATATCTTTTTCTTTTGTTTTTGTAAGTATAATTATATAATAGGAGTATATATCTATTTTTTTTTTTTTTTGCTTTTCGAACTTTACATTTTCCTATGTTCATTTCTCAAAGGCTACACTGTTTTATATTAACTTTTAAGCATGGGCTATATTGTTCAGCAATGGTTGTACAGAACTACTTCTCCATTCCCCTATGTGCAAATGGCTTCTAAATTGTTTTTGCTTATTTGTTACTACAAACAGTATATTCATGCTATAGCTTTGTTCACATTTTAGAAACAATTCCTAATAGGATTTTTAGGACAAAGGTTATTAATATTTTTATGACTTTTGATAATACCACCAAGGAACTTTCTAAAAGGGTTGGTAGACTTTACAAAGCTTTTGCTGGTCTTCGCAGGATTATCATTAAACCTGAAAGGACAGCCAATATCCATCAATCTCAAATTTCTCACCTCATATTCATTTCTACTTTTTAAATTCATTACTGCTTCTTTTTCAAACAAACTCCTGAAGCTACTTTCACTAAGGTCACATATGACCTCCAAATAGCCAAATCTGACTATTTCTTTTTTTGCCTTATCCTATCTGATCTCTGCGGAATTTACAATTTTCTCACTTCCTTCTTGAAATTAACCTCCCTTGACTTTAGCAATTCCACTATTTTTTTTTGCACTCTTTCTATGCTGACTTGGATCTTTCTTGATCTTCCTCACAGTCCCCTTCTTTTCCTGCTGGCCTCCACAATGTTGGCCTGCTCTACTCTACCCATGATCATATTTTCTTGTACAGTATCTACCTCGATGAATCATTCATTCCTTCAACTTGACCTTTGCTTATCTATAAATAAGCACTCAATTTTATTTCTAGTCAATCCTTTATCTTGAGCTACAGATCGGTATTTCCCTCAGAAACTGTACCTCGCTATGTGGATGTCATAGTCTTCTGTTCTCAGCCCTGTATATGATATCCTCCTCAGGCATTGCTCTTTGCTCAGTCAGGAAGGTAGAAACCTTAGAATGATTCTCCTGTCTCACTCCCTTTCTCCATCCTCAAATTCTGCCGGTTACCAAGTCCCGCTATCCTCATGAAGAATAATTACTTACAGTCTGATTCTTCTTCAGCTCCCCACAGCTTTGAAAAATAATCTCTCAGGTGGATTTATTGCCTCTGTTTTATGACTGGCCTCCCTGCTTCTAGTCAGTATTATTTATAATTTATCTTCTGTGTCAACAAATATGCTCATGTTATAACTCAGCTCAAAACCCTTAATGATTCTTGATTCCTTATCATAGTGATCTCTTAAGCTCTTTTGAGCATATGTCAGCTCTTCTGACATTAACAATTGGGGGTCTATCCCCCAAGAGTATGTACATTATTTATAAATTAAAATGTACTTATAAAATACATTTTACATAGCTGTTACATACGTGTACTATAATACTATTATGAAATACACAAAATATAAAAGGATGATATAAGAATATACATACACATACAACAGACACATGCACACATATTTTCTGACATTTTGAAGGACGGTCTTGTGCACCCTGTCAGGTACTATAACATAATTTTGGAGACCATAACTTTCTGAGGATAAAACACAAATTCTTTGATAGAGTATTCACTGGGTCATACAATATGATCTCAATTCTTTCCATTTCCTATCTCCACCTTACATAACTATTTCTCCACCTCAGTAACCTGAAGCTGTTAGCTACTTTTCCAACATATCATAATATTTCATACTCTACTATCTGTCTGGAATGCCCTCCTCTACTTGAAAACTCCCACTTACTCTTCAAGACCTAGCTCAAACGTTACCTCCTTCATGAAACCTCCTAATCCCACTCTCTTTACGTATTCATTCATACACTACTATGCTGTGATTGTCATTACCTCCCTGTCTCTCCTCCCCTAGCCTCCAACCATGTCCAAGGGCAAGGTCTATCTTTTTAGACTTGCCCAACTTTCTGACACAAAGTAATTAACATGTGGCATAAAAATAGTGAGTTAATTCCTTTATCTACCTAACATTATCAAAGCAGAACATATACCTCGGGACAGCACTGTGCTTCAGAGTCCCAAACAGATAATCAAAATCTGAGAGTATACAGATTGACAAAAGCTAAGTTTGGTTTAACTGGGCAAATAACTTATAAAAATGTAGTCTGATAAAAAGATTTTTTTTTTAAAAAAAGGACATTTCAGTGCATTAGAAGAAGGGATTTTAAATACTTAAGGCTTCTACTGATAATTGAGATGACAACTCCTATTTATTAAATAGTTATCAACTCCAAGCACAGTGTTAAGGATACTATATAATGACCTCACCCAGTAGGCCTTTAATGAAAGCTCCTTTTGAAGTGCAAGTGTGCTAGTCAATTACAACTCTATCTCTCACTTAAGCTCTAGATTCTAGAGTCATTTAATCATTCACACGCCAGCTGGCAAATTACTTTTTATCTGCAAAATTGTTTTGTGAAAATATTAAAATTATGAAATATTAGAACTAGAAAAGAGTTTAGAACTCTAATCTAGGCCCTTTATTTTCTAGAAGGAGGAACTACTGAGGCCCCCAGAAGTTAATTTCCTAAAGGTTACAAACTTGTAACAGAATAGAAACTAGAACCCAGATATGCTAGCATATTTTCTTTGTTCTACCTTCTGCTTGAAAATAGAAATCAACTTTTCTCATAGCTACTCACTAAAGCACTTGTACAAGCTAGTTACTGATTACTTAAAGAAAAATGTTCATTTATACTTAAATTAAACCCACTAACTTTCTAAATTTATCTTTTCTACACACATTAATACACTATTTTTATTTTTTAAGTTCCTAATATGCAAGTATTTAAAATTAAGTCTCAAGCAAAATACTTAATTAAAAAATTCATTCTTACAGTTACAATCATTAGTAAACATCTTTTTTATTTCAAAGAAACATGCAGTACCTGAATGTGCTCTTTCGTGATCAGCCAAGGTCGGTGTGCTAGCAGCTTATTTATTTCATTAAGATTTTTCAGTCTTTGTGGTACGTACTCCAAACCATTCAACCACTCAGCAATACCTCCTGTCTTTATAAATTCATCCACATGCATGTTTATTAAGTAAGAACACTGATGTCTAGCTGCAGCCTGAAACATAAAGAGTTAGTTGATAAAATAATCATGGTAGACTTTTATTCTACTATTTCTAAACAAAAACAGAGACGGAATTAATTTTTATAGTTTATTCTTTTCTTTCACAATCCTTCTTCTAAAACTTCCATCACAATGCTGCCATAGATTCTTGAATCATGAAGCTGACACTTGTATAAGCAAATAAAGTGTCACATGAAGCCAATTACTTCCTCATCTAGAAGTTGGTACTGGTCAACCTAGAAGCCACTTTCTTGTTTTGTTATGAAAACACATGTCCGTTAATTATATTAACTGTATTGTATTTAAAACATAAAATCTCATTAACTTGTACTCTACCAATTCAGAATGCATGCTAATTTGGGTAATTCTCTTATTGCCTTTGAGAGAACTGTGATATCACTCTTATCTGTGCACATTGCCCTATTGAGAAGAAACTGAAGATCATTGACCCCTTTCCTTCCTATGCAGTCAGTCAGCCTTGACACTGACAATTTGGTAAATCCACGCAAAACAGGCCTTTCACCGCTCCTTTCCTTGGGGGTCCCTCTCAGTAAAATAGCATTGTTTTATTTTATTTTCCGTATCTTGTTTGTTTCTTGGTTTATGACCATTCTAGGTCTGCTTTCAGTCTTACTGTCGTCAAAATCTTAAGCTAAAATGATAGTCAAGTTCATCATTCAATAAAACATAGAATACTGCCCTTTTTTTGTTTAAAACTTCAGTGAGAGCATAAACAAGATAATCGAATTAAACTTGGTAAAAACTTATCTGCTAACTCCTGGCTAGTTCCTCTATCTCTGCCAGCCCAGCTGGTCTAAATCTCCAAATATATGGCAGTTGTATCATATTCTCATTGCTCTTTTTCACTGGTAATAGTTCAACTGTAGCACTGTTTCTTTCCACTCTTC